TGAACTCAGAAGTTCCACTCTCAGATTGGAGTACAGGTAGTCCCTGCTTAACGACCGTTCATTTAACAACTCTTTGAAGTTACGATGGCCTTGGAAAAAATGCTTTACAACCTGTACTTGCGCTTATGACCATTGCAAACCACTGCACCCCCCCGCAGTCACATGATCGTGATTTGTGATCTTTTTATGATGGTCATTAAGTGAATTACATGGTTGTTAAGGGAATTACATAGTCGTTAAGTGAATCATGTGGTTGTTAAGCAAATTTTGGCAAAAAAAGTCCATTGGGGAAGCTAGATTCTCTTAATGACCATGTGATTCGCTTAATGACCATCATAAAAATTGTCATAAAATTGGGTCTGGACACTCAGTGACTCACTTAATGACTGTCCCACTTAACAACCAATTTTATGGTCCCTATTGTGGTTGTTAAGTGAGGACCACCTGTAGATAAAGTCTGTCAGCCCCTGAAAATCTTTCCAAAAAAGTGGCTGAGTACACTCTAGGAGCCACAAAAGGGAAGATGGTAGGTTGTCCTTTTTGCACCTCTGTGCTAAAGCTCACAACGTAGTTCCCTTCTTCCTACTCAGCACCCTCCACTCTCTCAAAAACTGCCCCCACTTCCTGGAACAGGATATAATATAAAAAATAATTATGGAAGAATAACAGAAATAGGCTGTGATGTACAGTATACGGTAGAAATGTTTTCCTCAGAGCCAAGGCAGCATTGGGTACAATCCTTTGATTATAGAGTATATATCAGATTTATATCAGTTCTGGAATACACATTTATTTAATAGACTATTTATGCCACAGATTCCCAAAATAAACCTCCAAGAGGTTTTCTGCAAAAACATAAAACTAAAGTTAAAATCAAGGCTCTTATAATGAAAACTGCTAACAGTTAAAGGCCTGCTCAAAAAGATATGTTTTTATGGCCCCTTAAGAAGGCCAACATACAGGTCAGTCCTCTCAATACAATGCATTCCAGAGACTTGGGGCAGTTACACAAAAGACTCGACTTTCAGTCGCCACAAGCCAAGCCAACAGAAGTTGTAAATGAATCTCCTCAGACGACCTTGATGGACAGATAGAGATCATCTCATTCAGAAACAAACTGGCAGCCAGCGTAATGCTTTCAGTGTAGGTGTGCGACGAACTCTTCAAGTTCCGCTGGAGCTCAAATTTATGACATCACATGTGAAAATATGCCTTCCAGATTGAAAAGGAGTATATAATTAAGACATTAATATTTCAAAATTTTCTGTAGGGAAGTCTTTTCCATCATATTCTATGGAAGTGATTGTTCTTTTGAAAGATGCTTGTGTTTTCACAACATATTTACATTAACTTAATCATAGAAGTAACTTAGATTCCTGAATTGCACAATGTGCTCAACTGCAAACTAATCACACCGTCTGGATTCATCCAATTTGCTAGGCTAAAGTGTTGCTGGTTAGTTTATGATTCAGTGTGACATGTACATCTGGCTCTGAATCAATTTTCCCTAATGTAAAACATGTATCTATTTTCCTCTTTGAAAGGGTGGAAAGGATTTAATACATGTTCTGCTCTTCTATACTTTAGCTCAGAAAGCCAAACTAGTTTTGACACTGTTAATAATTTGTATTGCTGTGTGATTTTGGTGGCTGGAAATGACTGTAGTTTTCTCCCCTCCTGAAATTCTCCTGCTGTAATTAATGGTTTAATAAACCACTGAGACCATGAAACATGATTAGCTGGGAAGTGAATGTTCATTGGGAAGATGGAATAGAAGTAGGAAAAGAAACACTTTAAATCAGCTTTCTCAGTCTGGTGGCCTCTGCTGTCTTGGATCCTCTGGAATTCTCAGGCATTATGGTTATTACAGAGTTGCAAGCCCACTGCATGTAGAAGGCACCAGATTAGAGGAAATCTATCTTAACAATTCACATAAAGAATGAGGCATTTGTTTAGCATCTGCTGTATTAGAATCTAGAAAATGTTATTAGTGATATCACTTTATTATAGCATTATAGCACTTCTGCCTTTGAACACTAAAAGCAATGGTACAATGTTTTGGACAAAACTGAACAACAGCAAAAGAATGTCATTTGGTTTTGAATAATTTGTCTTTTCCAGATGAGATTGGAATCTATTCGATGCATACTGCAATTTCACAGAAAACAATATGTTGTTGAAATGTATTTCAGAGGTTTGTTTCCCTAAAAAGACATTTGAACATAAAACACAGTCTGTTGCCTGGAGCTCAGATCAAAAGAATAATATCTGAGTGTTAATATTAAGAGACAATTAGTTGTGTCTTTAATAATATAACAAAGGAATGTATTTTCTGCTCTTAAGAGCAACCTCAATTTAATTTTGCATTAAAATGCTACAATATTATATTTAAAACTCTGTATGATATAACTAATTTAAAATAAATACATTTTTCATTTCCTTGCATGGTATTTAGTTCAGATATAACACCAAATCGTGTTTTAGCACTACATGGAAGAATTATGGGCTCATGACACACACCCCGATTTTCCCTCTCAGTTCAGCCTTAGAGTCTGTAATTGACTGTCAGAGGCTAACTAAAGTATGTCATTGCATTCCGAACTAGATAAACTGTGTTTGAGGCTGATTTGATTGGCTCATGATGCTACAATTACTGTACATCTTTTCAGTTTCTTTTCTGTCTCATATCATGGTATCAATCATTACAGACACCCTGAGTCAGCAAACTTGTATCATATTTATATAAAATAGAGCACTACAGAAAATCTTTGGCATGTATGATAATACATATAAATTTGCCTTGTTTTCCTTTTTTTCTTTTGGACATTGTGTCCCTCTTAACATATTATGTAACTTTTAGTCTAAATTGCCTATTGATCAACAAAAATTAGGGAAAATTCTCAAAAAAAATAGCACCCTCTTCATTTTTGGCTATCAACCCAGCTCCACCTGTAAGCTGCTGCATAACATTATTATAGTACTGGGCTTAGGAAAAAAGATGGAAGCAGAAGTAACAGGGAGGCTTTCTCTAGTGATCAACTACACTTCTTGGAGAAATTTAGAGGACTATTCCAGTAGACAGCTAAAGTGTAATTTGAACAGTATGGGAACCTTTTTTCAGAATTATTCCTCCATCCAGTTTTAAATGTTCTACTCACATTTTGAAGATGTGTTGGGAAATAACACAAAATATTATTCTGTCTAATTTGGAATTGCCTAGGTGTCAATTTACTCTTACTAATCACCAGGATCTTCTGAGCTGTCTATGAAATCTCAGAAATATATCTGACCATTCTATAAAACCAAAATGTTAGTTTTATAGCTGCAACCATCCATACCACTAACTCAGGGTTCTAAAATATAATCTGTTAACAATAGTCATTTCACTAGTTATGTACTATTGAAGAAGTGGCCAACCTTTCTGGACTGCTGGGCACTTTTGGAATTTGGGAGCATATTATGAGCATTCTTACAAAATGGCCCCTATAGTAGGCAGAGCTAATAATAAAACAGCAATTTAGCAGTAGGTAAGATAGGCTGTTCCCCTTTGCCTTCCAAGTTGCTCTGTCTTTTTGGAGCAGGAGGACATATTCTCAAACAAAGAAGTGGACTAGACTTACCCATCATTTCTAACAACAACCCTGGAATATAGATATAGATATATCCCTGAAATATTCTTGGAATTAAATATTATAATTCTGTAAAATTAAAATGACCTAAAATAATAATAAAAAATAAGGTGGGGCCTAGAGTCCAGTAAAATGAGAAAGCTTCTATACCATATATATTAAGTTGCACTGAAATGATCTATACTTAGTTGCATTTAAAAATATCTAATAATTGTCTTTATCAATATGTACATCAGATATGGAACACTGCCAAAGTTACATTAATTTAAGTATGAAAACATCAAGAATATTTATTTATTTATTTATTTATTTGATGTGTATATACTGTCCCAATCCAACTGGAGTTTAAGCAGTTTACAGTGTATATAATAAAATACAATAGTGTAAAATACACAGTAATATAAAATAAAGAATATATAATGATAATAAAAACTAAAACTTACATTGATAGCACCAGGATCAATCCTAATCCTGGAAGTCTCTCCAGAAAAGCCAGGACTTTACAAATTTTTGAAAGGCCATCTGAGGGGGGTGGGGTGGGGTATCCTTGCTTAGAAGGGTAAGCTATTCCATAGAAGGGGAATCCCTACAGAGAACCCTTGCCTTTGAGTCCCACTTCCTGGTAGGTAGGCACCCTGAGCAAGCCCTCTAATTACATGGGATGATTTGATTAGGGCAAAATAGTCTTTTAAATGCCCAGGACTCAAGCCATTTAGGGTTTTAAAGATAATATCCACCCCCTTGAATTGTACTTGCAAATATGCTGGTAGCCAAAGCAGCTCCCTCAGAAATGGTATAATATGGCAACATTGAGACTGATCAGTTAGCACATGGGCCACTGCATTTTGGACTAGATAGTTTCTGGGTAATCCTCAAGGGTAGCCACTTGTAGAGCAAATTATAGTAATCTAAACAAGAGATAACAAGGATAGCATCCTTTTCCAGGTGAGGCTATAACTGGTGTACTACCCAAAACTCAACAAAAGTCCTCTAAGCCATGGCTTCCATCTGCTGCTTTAGTAGGAATGCTGAATCCAGGATGACCTCCAGACGGAGAGTCTGCTCTCTGGGTGGTATGGAGATGGTCTTGAAGAAGGAATTCTGTGGTCATTCTACAAACATCAGCTTACCCCAGATAGACAAGAGAGAGTGAAGAAAAAAAAAATCAAGATTGACCCATTTTGATTTTCATTAGTATAAGAGGGGAGAGAATCTCTGTCAGGCTCTCAATATTATAATATAGTTCCAGCAGCTCATGCAGGCTGTTTTCTGACCTGGTCTATCTCAAGGGGCTGACAGGCAAGCACAGGCCCATCAACAAAGATGGTATAGTCCTGCAATCAGTAGGCTTCTGAATACTCTGTCTTGTTTGAGCATGGGGTGGAGATGCACATCTGGTTATCTTAGTATTATAGCCTTTGGAGGACTGTAACATTAAGAAGGCTGGATCAGAGTGGTAAATGCTTCCATGGGAAAGAGTGCAGTACCACTTGTTTTAAGAATAGCATTACTGCATTTATCAAATCTGGCTATTAACTGGCTTCCAAATACCTTCCATTTCCTCTAGGGCTCTCCACAACTGCAGGGCCACCATATTCTCAACAACCTTCCACAGAAAGGGTTCAGGCCTGAATATGGAACCAAATCCATGATTGTTCTTATGATTAGTGATAGGACTAAAGAGGCGTGACCCTTTTGATCCTGTTGACCTTAAGTGGCCTTCAGTATCAACCTTTTGGACTGGTTGTGAAGATTGGGAATGTGGGTGGAGCTACTGTTTTGCAATGATTCTCCTTCCTGAAGGGCAGTTCCAGTTGTTGGTGGTAGTGAGAAAGAGGTCATCAAAGCATCCTCCACTTTGGGGTGTCACAGGGTTTACTTTCTCTTTTATGCTAGTTATGGGCACCTTTGCCCAAATAACACCCCTACTTCAAGAGTTGCACTGGCTATCAGCTTCTGGGAGCAATTCAAGGTGCTGGTTATCTTTAAAGCCCTATATAGCTCAGAACCTGAGTATTTTCAGAACTACCTATTCCCAGCAGCTTCTACCTGTCCATTAAGCTGTGAAAGACAAGGATCCCTCCCTGTCCCTATCCCCAGGAAGTGTCATCTACAAAGACTATGGGAATAAGATATTCTTGGTTGCTGCCTTCCCTGAACAGTACTCCTTCTAAGATCAGATCAGCCAAACTATCTTGAGGTCTAATATGTTTGAATTTGATTCCTCCTGCGAGAGGAATGTTTGTTCTTGATGTTTGGAATATCATGATTTATGAATTATATTTTTAATCTTCGTACTTTATGTAGGTATGTAAGCATCTCAAGAGAAGCATATAAGTCTAATAAAACAAATAAATGAATTCCTGTCTCTAATTTGAAATATCAACTTAAAATGCTTAATTATATATTGCCTGGCTGGAACAGAACTTTAGAAGATTTTTGATATGAAACTTTCTTACAAAAACTGCTCAGGTCAGCCCACTGGGTTCTACAGAAATTCTATGGTTATTCTACATAGGATCATTCTTTGAAATCTTCATATCATTTCATATCATAGACAGAAGAGCAAAAGTAAAGAGGAGGAGGCTACTTCATTGTTGTAGCTCCCATATTCTGTTTTCTACGTTTTCTTATTAGTCTCACATTCTGTTTCATATTTATTCATTTATGAATTGAAGACTTGTTGAATACCTATAACAGTCAGGTCCTTTTGGACTGATTCAGAGCAAGAGGCATATTGTGCATAATGTAACATTACAACAAATTTAATGTTTTAAGAAACCACTGGGAAGTGGGACAATAGACTATTTTCTTAAAATAAGAAAAGTCTTGGAAGAATAGCAGTTATTAAAATTGCACCTATAGTCCAAGCATGCTCACATTAAAACTTTCCAGTATTATATAAAGAGCAAAGTATGATACACATTTAAACCCAGAAGCCACAAATCCCATGGGCACCTAAAGGCATGAAGGAAGGCTTATATGGGTTTAACAGATTTTCCTTAACACCTATTCCCTAGTGGCATAACACAAACTATTTCTGAAGTTCCTCAGAGTTGGTAAAAATAACAATAATATATTAAGAGGCTGATATTAGGAAGAAAACTAAAGTTGTGGCACTAAATTTGTGTAGTAATGGTTTTATGGATTTGCCATATCACTTGTGAATTCACTGCAAAAGTGGAATCTAATACTTTCTGCATTTAGCTATCAACAAGATGAATCTTTGTTTATTAGAAAAGAATGGTATCTACATAGCATGTTATATGTTGAGCTGTTTCATATCACATTTTCAAGAATCTCACTGAGGACGACCTTAAGCATCTCTACAGGATAGATGCAAAATTGTCATTTTAGGGTAGAATTTTCTAGGACATACTAAAGTCTATTAAGCAAATATCTTTTAAGAAATGCAACATGCACCAAAAGAAACTACTTAACTGAGCTCCCTTTAACTCCCCACCACTGTTCTTGTTTATGAAATTACAACTGAGTATCTATCTTACATCCCTCCCTTGCTACATTTGTGCATTAACCCCTCTGTCTGAAGCTGAAGTCATTAAAGTTTTATTATGCTTGGTAATGCATACTTTGAGCACCTTCAGCCAATATTCCAAATGGCATTAAGAAGATGAACTGAAGGAGCTTTAACTAGCAGAACCTCCTATATTTCCATGGAATATATTTGCTATGAATAGAATTTATTGAAACCAAGAACTGCAAACATACAGAATTTTTGCAATACATTACAAGTTGATTAAAAACCGATTCATATTCAAAGAAACTGTTGTACTTTTGCGACCTCTGCTGGAAAGTTCAAGGAAAATTTTTAGCACTTGGAGAAGTGTAAGAAATGTCTCACAGACTACAGAAAACCCTTAGTGCATTTTAAGCAACTGTTTTTGTTAAAACAATTATTTATCAGCTGTCTCAAAACACGACTAATAGGACAAAAGACTGCAATCCAAAACTGAGAGGAAATTCATCTGAATAAAGTAGTGATTATGCTAATCTATACAGAGAAATTAATTTCCAATTGGAGGAATATTCTCATGAAGATACTGCAAAGCCAGATCAGTCCATTTCATTTCTTGTTCTTTTACTGATTCTGTTGCTCCACCATTGTCTTGTTCTGGTTCTGGAAGTTCATTCTGAAAATAGAAAATTCTGTAATGCTTCAAAAGTGAACACTTAAAAATATTTATCATGAATAATAAAACAAATCTGAGTGGGAAAAAAGGTACATAATGTGTTTTCAGTACAACATATCAAATGAAATCAGGTTTTGTTTCAGAAGAATCAATTCATAAATGGGAAAGTAAGCAATATTTTGTTTTTAATTGCAAACCTAAACATCTTTAAGTGCTGTAATCATGCATAAGGGTACATGTATGAAATTGTTAATAGCTTACTGGCTCAAATGCTAGGCATTTGGAAATTAAGTTTGTAGTTATAGGTGTGCTTATTACATTGTACGTCCTACTGATTTCTTCAGGATCTATGTTATATCACATTGTTTTATGAGATTATTAATTCCCTCTCTCCATAGATATTGAAAAATAAGCTACTCAGTTTATTGAACATTTACTGAATAAATGTTCATAAAAGGGCAAAATTAAAAGTTCCATGGCACTGACGTTTCCTTATATGTTAATACAGTACTACTTAAAAGATTAACAAACTATACATAGGTTCTTGCATCATATTCCATTTATAAGCCAAAAATGATGTTATGGTTAATTTTTTAATAGCACAAGTATATTAATACAACTGATGTACATATATACAATAGTATAAGATATGGCTCTTGACAATACAGTTAAACAATTTTATGAAAAAATACTGTTTTCATAACAGCTATTTAGTATACTAGGTGCCAAGCAAAGCAGATTCCCCTCACAACATATACAAAATTACTTAAAAATCATATGTATATATGCTTGCTGTGATATTAATAGATTACTCACATGACCATTATAAAATCAACATGGAGCTGTTTATTTTATTTCTTAAATGTGTTTTTATTTTATGTAAATAAAATATTTGATTTATAAATTTGTATTCACCCAACCTCAAATGACTGCTTGCTTCGTGATTTGTAATTTTCACTTTCATTTGTATCATATAAAACAAGCATTGTTTTAGGACTGGTACAAAATGGCAAATGAACATAAACCAACCACATGCTACCATTTGTGGAAGCAGTTTAGTTGGTGAAACAGGAGAGATTATTCCTCCTTCCTGCTGCAGTACATCCCACCTGCTGGCACCTCCTTAAATCAAATAGTCTTTTCCTGCGGTCAAGTGGTACAGAAAATGACAGTTCCTTTAAGGAGTTGCTAATAAATGTCACATATATGCCAACCTACACTTTAAATCAGCTTCTTCAAACCCAATCACTGCACAGCTCTAGTATATATTCAGAAAACATTTCAAACAGCCATAAAGAAGATGACAAACTTCAAAGAACTTTATGTAGTATCTATACAACTATATTTTATGTATCTGTATTAACAACTACATCGTTGCTGCTTTAGTTTTATTATAACCATTTTTACTATTTATATTTCACCTTTCTGCTCATAGGCAGAAACTTTACTAGGCTTTTGGAATGTTAATTCTTGACTGGGTTTAATTAAAGTTATTAGCAAAAGCTTCATTGAGAGTTTTTTGAAATTGAGAAAACAGTTTAAAATAAAAAGGAAAAATATATTAATTATTCAGGAACTTACCAAGGGTATTGCCACATCTTCATATGGTAACTTATCTTCTCTCCATGCATCATCAATCAAATCTAGGATTCTCCCATCCCTCTGTACCTCACTATCCATTTTTTGTGCAGTTTATAATGAGGTCTATGATACAAAGAAAACATTTATGCTTATATACTACTGCTTGTCTTATACCTAATTGCCAAATTTACTTCCCTGAAAGGAAATTCCACTGAAGTGAAGGGAATCTATTTTTTTAAAGAGTTTTTTTATTAGTGAAATATAACAAAACAATTATGGTATTACAATTTTAAAAACTGCACACCTTACAGTAATTAAAACAAACATAAACATAAGGGGAAAAAGAAACTAAGGAATAAAGTAAAAATAATCCACATATTAATATAAATCAACTTCTCATGAAATCTTGACCATATTGCTCTATCTTCTCATTTTAAAATGTAAAGACATTTCAAAATTGCTATGGAACACATATTTTGAATTCATTCTTCAAAATCAGGAGCACGAATTTCTTTGTTTCCTTAAAAAAATTATCCTTGCCAAGCCCCACACTTGTTAAAGCTTGAGTTCTTCATAAGGTCAAAATTCACATTTGAGAAGTATAAATAACCATCATGTCATACAACATTGCTTTTACTGAGCTATACACAATGACATCAAAATCCCTCTGCTGATAATCTGCACTGATCATATTATACCTACATTTTTAAAAATTCCAATATACATTAATTTATACTTGCATATCATGCTGCTCCCTCTTTCTGCAGCCCATTCAGTTTGCAGGAAACTTTTTGGGAACGTTTTGCAAAGTGCTTTTTTTTTTCTCAAAAAGTTTTAGTATGACCTTCAAAACTGGCGGCTAACTGTTCCCTGTTAAGTGTTACCCATTTAATAGCAAATTAAATGGCAAAGATATAGATTTTTGGCTATTTCCAATGGTTATTTTGCTCAATTCCAGTAAACATTCATATATTCACTCCTTCATATGATACTTTTCTTTGAGACTTTCACTATGCAATTACTTAATTGCAGCTTTTAAGAGGATAGTGGAAAAATCATGCTTACTTATAATTTTCATGTTTTCTCAATACTTTTAGTACTTTTTTTCTTTAAAAAGACTATTAAGGAGGAAAAATACAGGTATACATAATGGATAAATATGTTAAATAATATCCTTCTGGAAGCATCCATATTCTTTAACTGTTATAAATCCTGTTACAGCACTTTCCCATCTCTGATATATATATTTAGGAACTCCGAATTTACCAGAATCTTTCTGGAATTTTTAACGGGTCCAGACCACTTGCTTAATTATTTGGGAACATCAGTATTCAGGGCTTCTTACAGGGCTGCTTGTAATAATGAAATAACTTATCCTACAAGGTTGCTTGCAAAACTTACAGATAGATAATACTTATCGATAAACATAACCGCAACTCATTTCTCATGAGGACCATCAGGACTACTGTCCGACAGCCCGAAACACGGCATGCGAGCCTAGCAGCGCCTACATTCTTACCCAGTTTCCCTGCCCGTATATGAAACCTAACAAATTATCCATCCCGACTTCGTTCCGAAAAGAGAGAAATTTCAGGACCCCGCCCCGCGCCCCCTCCTGCTCCTCCTCTCTTCCATCACCGCTTCTCCTCCCTTCCTCCATGCGCCTCTCACACCAGCGCTTCGACTCACACCTGCAGCACGCGACATCCGCCGCCGTTCCGCGATTTTGGAAGAAAAGGACGTGACGTCACAGGCGGCAGCTCTAGTAGACGTAAATCATAGAGAGGATCGCGAAAAACGTGGGCGGGGCGTTTGCAGCTCTTTTCGGAGGAGCGGCTCGGCGGTAACGGAAGAGCTCTGGGGAGTGTGGCGGAGGTGCGCATCTGCACGCTTCCTCGAGTCCTTTCGGCGGGAGAGCCCTAGGGATCTGAGGTAACTCTGCTTGGCATTCGTTATTTGACGCCGGGTTTACCGACTGGGCTCCTTTTTCTGCTGCCCTGCTCTCCGTCCTCTGTTGTCTTAGTCCTGTATTGTCGGTTCGCAACTACTGTACTAAATTTTAGCCTGCTGCCCCAGCCCCGCTGGGACTACTTTATGATTCAGCATGTTATGTGAATCTAGAAAGTTGGATTAAATTAATAAACCATGACTTAGCGAAAGTGTCGTGCGAACGCAGCCACTGAATCTCTCGTTTATTGGTCTTTGCCCAAATACGTTTCTTTACAATAGGTAAGACAAGAATACTTTCTGAGCAGTTGTTATTGAAGTAGGAAGTCCCAGTACAGATTTGAGATGCTATCCTACAGATACTTGAGAAGGTCCTATTGGAAAAAGTGACATTTTGAATAAAAATCAAGATGTTCATTGATTTAAGTCTCAGTGTATTACTTATATTACTTACTTAAGAAGGTTCTTTAATAATAATTTCTAACAAAAGTGCATTCTTGTTGGTTGGTCTAACCAGTACTGTACTCAGAAAAAGATGGAGATTGTACTTTTTGACAGTGTTTTATATATATAAAGAAATTAATCAATTTTTTCACATTCATTTTAGTTAAAAAAAAAAAGGATGGTTTTTGTGCCAAGTAAGCAGATATATACTTAGGAAGTTATTAGAAGCTTAATTAAAGCAGCTGCAGTTCAGTTAATTGTTGGTGTTTAGAGGATATTTTTGCCATGATATGCTAGGAGACCAACCTTTACTAGCTTTTAAACTCTACTACTCCATCACCTCAAGTTCTCTATTCATTGACCTTTTTAGTTCCTACATTACTGGTCTGACAGGAAATAACATGGATATGTATGCACCAGTCACCACAGACTGCAAGTATGTTTTGTGTGCACACTGGGGATACAGTCAAAGTGTAGTTTGCTGTTAAATATAGTTTAGGAAATGCCATTGGTGAGTTTTTACTAGATGATTCTTGGGTTTGAGGGAAGAATGGGGAAAAATATGAACAATAAATTAGCAAAAAAATTAAAACTGTTTAACTATTAAATCTTAGAGTCATGCTACTTATTGTTATATGTTATTACTTTTTTGCCTTAACAGAAATGAAAATAATTAGCACTTTACAGGAAAAAAAATCTGAGAAAGTGGAATGATGCCTTTGTTTGGACTAAGTATTAAATACTAGATGGCAGCTTTCAGGTAAATTCTGAATTTAAGATATTTTATTGAATGTTTAGTATTCAGTCTTAACGATCATTGGCAAACTTAAGCAAATCGGGGCTGGTTATATATAGCTGACTAACTATAGCCATTCTGTGATGAATGGAGCAGGTATGCAAGATCTTTCTACTATTCAGACAAGACTTTGAGTGGACTATTTACATACTGACCAAGTTTCAGTACAAAACAAACAAAAATTATAACATTCCTTCCACCAGGGTACAGTCCAACGGCAATCAAAATTAAAAAGTAAAAAAAAAAATCAGTTAAAATTACACAAAAGCAATAAAATCAATATATACCATGACATATCTACAAACACAGTAAAAATAACTTAAGCAACTGTAAAATCCTAAAAAAATAGGTCCCCACATATAATGAGGGATAGGTATTTTCTGTATTTGGCTCATACAGTGCAATCTCTTATTTTTCAGTGGGCCACCTCAGATGCTAAATTTTGCTAGGTAAATTTGTGAACCAGTCCCCAGTGCTGTAAATCCTAACCACTAATGCCTACTCCTACTATCTGAAGTCTTTGTAATCTCTGTCAACTGGGAGTTTTTCTTTAAAAATACTGTAAGAATGTTGTGCATGTGAAATTCATTTTAGTCCAGATTATTAAATCATACGGCATCTATATATCAACATTTCTTTGAAGTGCTAGATGTTTTTTTCTTCTTTATATGGTCTTCAGACATCTCCTTGATCGCTTATCGTTCTTCCATCTGAAGATAAAGCTACAGTACATATTTTGGATGGGTGATGCCTTTCTATTCTTGCTTTGTAAAGAAAAGAAAGAGAAAAGAACACAAATGTAGCAAAATAATTGCAACAAGCTCTTTATTTTTTATGAAAAGATATAAAGCTACTGTAGTACCTTTCATTTTAGAATACTGTGGCAATGTAATATGAAATAATGCTTGCTTAGCTAAAGTTTTAGCAAAATCTTGTTTACTAGTTTATTTTTGTGTTGTTTTTAATTTATAATTTGCCCAGCATTTAGCCTGTAAAGCTATTGAAGTGCCAACTGTTCCCTCCATATTTACTATAAATTGTGTAATTTTTCACTGATCTTTCCCTTTTCCATATCTCATATCAAACAGTGAGATAGAGGAGGGTAGACATGGTGAAAGCTTACTAGCATAATTTTTATTTATTTATTTTTTCTTTTCCAGGAGCTTTAAGGGAAGTGATTTCAGGATGGAGGCACTGCTGGAAAGAATGCAAACCCAAGGACAGAGCAGGTGTGTATTTGCTATTTCTCAATAATGTTATTCAAATAGAAATAAACATTTCTTTAAGGACTTCATGTATTAGCTACTGTCTTTACCAAATTGTCAGAAAAATCCATATTTATTAAATGCACCAGTTTGGGGTGTTTATCACCATTCTGATACAAAAATAGTATCTATACCTTGTGAAACTTTTTCTTATGTGCATTCATTTACAATTTGGATTCCTTTTTATTAAGGTAAAACCAATTTAGCAATTGTATTAAGTATTATTTTAAATAAACTTTTAAGAATGTGCTGTAATTCAGTAGCAGCTGTGTATTTTGCTTGTCTCCTAATTTTTTGTAAAATGCAACTGCAAGGAGTCATTAAAATGGTAGTACTATGCTTACCTTTTCAAGTTGCTGTACAGACTAATTGAGGCTGATTACAGAGGGATATGTAGGCTATTTTAATGCATACCTAAGTGCACTCAATGTAAAGTAAACCTCTTTAAGAATGTTGCTACATAGATCTAAGGATAGTTATTAGGTTATTCTCATTTTAGTGCACATATACCAGCTATGTTCAGTTTCAGAAAATTTTTATCATTATACTTACAATTCTGGTAATAATAAAAAAATAAGAACACTCTATGGATACCAGAATTGTGGAGTGGCATAGGGAGGGAAGGTAAATAATACAACTGTTATATTACCAGGGATCACCATTACAATTTAGAACAATTAATGGAGTGGTTTGTGTATTTCTGTTTCATTATGCAAGGAACAAAATTGCTTTCTTGCACAGAACCTGAAAACACAAAAGTGCAATCTTGTGGTCACTGTTATATTATGTCCTCACTCAGCCACTAAAAAAATCTCTGAGGCTCTTACCATTGCGATATCAAAGCTCTAATGCTGGTAGAAGTAAAAAGGGTATTGTGTCAGACTGGGGCACAATTTGGATTCACAGATTCTAGAGCAGCACTGTTAACATTTCTGATATGTTTAAGATATTCCAGTAGTGTGTGTGATTTATATAATTCCCTTCTACTATATATATATACTATATAATGAGAGATTTTTTTAAAGTCAGTAACCCAAAACAAGTAGGAAGGGAGAAAAATGCTATTCCTCCCTCTTGTTTTCACCTTGCTTGAGTAACACTAGCTGCATTTTGAATTTGTTGGTTATTTCATTCAAGATCCCTCTATTTGAGTAGGATTACACTTTAAATGGTTTTCTATTTATTAAAAAAACCCCTATGCTTTTCCTTGTGTTTGCTTGTGTTTTCCTTGTGTTTGGTTGTGTTCAACCAAAGTGAACATCCAGTCAAGGTTTGGAGAAGCTTGAGACATTAACCTCCGCTAGCTGTAACTCTGCTTTCATATCAAATTATTTTTTCCATTTGTCTTCTGTAGGTTTTATGTTTCCCTCCCCTAGTGTCAAAAGTCTCTGAAAGCTCAGATCTTAGATGAAGTTATGCATAACTAATGTACAAATATAATATGTATTAGGGCTTTGCACAGTTTGAAAATTATTCAGAAGAAGTGCTTCAGAGTTCATGAGAGACCAGCATCTCTTTGCTATTCATTAAGGCAGCAATCTCTTTTTTCAGGCTTCCATGCAAGCCTGAAAGATGTATCTGCTTTAAGATTTACACTACCAATGAGTAAAAGAATCAACTAATTAAAGCAGCCAGACCTTCTTTAAGCTGATGTCTGAAAAAAACCTATGACTGCTTCACTTCTATGCAGTTTTATTCCTGTGTTGATGACCTTATATGATAGTTCAATTAATATTTTATTTTGATTTAAACAAAATAAATAAGTAGAAAAACCTGAACTGTGATAGCATCATAGTAGGATTATATGTCATAGTTTGGATAAGAATCATGCTTATATGTTAGTAATCAAGGGTGCTCAAAAATGGAAGATATGAACCTTGCTTTTTTCTTGAGAGAGAATATATTTAATCAGATTTTAGCCTACTTTTCATTCAAAGTAATAGAAAATTGAGCTGAAGTTGCAGGAATTATAGCCTCTTATGAGTAACTAACACATGTTAAATTGAAGAGAAAACATTTTTTTTCCCCTTAAAGAGAACTGCCAATATCAATTTTATTTTCTGGGAGAATTGAAAATAGGCATAGTTGCTTCTTCTAAGGGGATGCCAATATCAAATGATTAGATTCAAGGGGTAAATATTGTTCAGCCAAAACCAAATTAAATATTGGGTAATCAGAAACACTACCAGATAAATGGCCAGACTGAAATGGCAAAGTAACAGCTCTGGGTCTCAGTTTTTTTTTCTTTTCTTTTTTTTAATAACTCTGTGTTTAATGATGTGCTGTGGTGCTCTTAACTGTCTTCATTTGTGCTACCCTTGGGCTTATGAACTAGTACTCGTGCCACACTTGTGACAATTGAGGTTAAGATTTCTGCTCTCCGGCAAAAGTCTTAAGAGAACTTACAAATGCAATAGAACCACATAATGTTGCTTTCCTCTTATGATCAGTTAGTTTTTTCCCCCAGTTGAGCATTTTGATTCTAATTTAATTACATTTTTCAAGAAGCTGAAATTTAATACTTACAAATTTCATTTAATGGATAGCACTTTATTTCCAAGTACATGTGTTTGGATTTTGTGGGGGACCACAAAGTGATCAGTGCTTCTCAATGTATTAACTAGCATCTTCCATGTGACAATTATTTATGCATTTACATTTTTGAGTCTGTTTTAATTTAAAAACATTTTTTCAAAATCTTATGTATTTTATACATTACATAACAAAAAGGGTAACAAATAAATGCCCCTGGTGCTTGTAGGCTTTCCAGTAGTAACCTGTTCGTGTATTGCACAGAATCTATTGTTTATTAGAGTTGAACACAAATCTGTGTTATAGGATGTCTTTGAACAGTGTCCTTATTGCTTTTTTATGGGGGAGCCCACCCCTGGCCATTGAAATCAGGGGCCCTAAGGATAGGATGTGTATATAATAGGGCTGTGAGGTGTTTTTGATTTGAAGACAAAAAGTGCTATATAGCACCTGAGGGTGCAACCATATCACCTGTTTGTAACTCCTTAAACAATATGTAGGTAGTCCTTAGTTAATGATAGTAATTGGGACTATAATTTCTGTCACTAGACACACAGTCATAAAGTTGCCATCATTAAGTGAATCTCCCACTGTTAAGTGACCTCCTGCCAGCTTCCCCATTGAATTTGCTTGTCAGAAGCTAGCAGTGAAGGTTGCAAATGTGATCACGTGACCACGGGATGCTGCAATGGCCACAACTACAAGGACCGGTTGTAAGTACCACTTGTTCAGCATTGTTGTAACTTTGAATGGTTGCTGAACGAATGGCCATTAAGTGAGGACCACCTGTACACATTTTATTTTCTGGTGATTGTTTAGTAGCTGTAGAGGGCAGCTGCACAATACCAGAAAAAAGTATAGCTGTTTAAGAAGTTGTAGATAAATACTGTGTTTGTACTTCTACATATTCTGAAGCATCTTTTTGTATGAGAATCTGAATCTGCTACATAGCCCTGCTATAGAATATTACTAGTGGCTGGGGGATGATCACAGAGAAAAAGATGAAGAAAGCTTTGCTTACCTAATATCACTTTTCTGATAACTGTTGTGTAGTCAGAACAAGCTATTTTCTTGTTAGCAGAGGCTTCCTGACTTCATGTGAGGCAGAGCTGCAAGAGTTGATGAAGCAAATAGATATCATGGTGGCTCACAAGAAAGTTGAATGGGAAACTCAAACTCAGGCTTTGGAGTCTTGTTTAGAAATCCGAGAACAGGAACTGTCCTCCCTCAAAAATGCATCAGAGGAGAAACGCAAAGAGGTATTTCTATGAGTTTTATACAATCTTCATTTTATTTAAATAGACTTTTCCTTCCTCTGTAAAATTCCACTATAGATATTGACCCTACAAAAACATACCCTTTGAACATTTCTGTAAGGTAATTTAAAGGGATAGGTTTCTAAGTAAAAATGCTGTGAAATAATGAAGTGTATCCCCTAGCCATAGTTTGAGAATTCTGCAAATAATATGTAAATAATATTCATTTGATAAAATTAAAGTGGCAGATTCACCCTAACTTTTATTACTTCTGTTTTCCCATCTGTTCCTTCTATATTGAAAGGTTTGATGTATTATTTATTACATCATGATTTGATTCACAGTCTTTAGTCAAAACCACTTAACTGGTCATTGATGAAATATTGTAAATATTAAGAACGTAACACCAATAGCCAAGGAAAACTTACTGGAAAAAGTAGCAGCACAATAGCAGACCTGGCATAAAAACAGAATAACACACTGTGTGTGTGTGTGTGTGTAATATATTGCAAACACAATCACTTATCAGGCTGCAAAAATGTCACTGGGCTCTGAACTTTTCCACATGAGTGATTTATAGAGTGACCCTGCAGCAATATACAGCCTGTCTTCTGCAATGATTTGGCTAGATGATGTTATAAATTGGTAGTATAGAAATATTCAGTGTCATGCATCCTTTTTTAAAGAGAACACTACATCATGGGTACATCAACTCACAAAATATGATATCTGTGACTGTTACTGTGGATCACTAGTTTTTCAGAACTTATAAATGATCTTAGTCAGTTATTCCTGTGTGGAATGAAGCAGTGAGGAACAGTGCCACAAACTCTCTCTTTGGAAATCAGTATAGAAGGATACTATTTTTGATACTATTTATAGTTGAAATGGCCAGAAGAATTGACAGTTTTATTCTCCTAGGCCTTTCCCCCAGTGTACTTCAACTGTCAGAGCACCTGAATGGGATGGTGCCAAAGTAAAATAAATAAATTTAAGGCTATTTTGATATTGAGCTAGTTCTGAAAACAGTAAAGTGGGTCCAGATTGTAATCGTTATCTAAGAATACTTGGAACTCCCTAGGACCACTTGCTTGAGCATGTTGACCCTAGGAGAGTGGACAACAGTTGCTACAATTTGTAGGCTCCAGGGAAGACTTCTTTTTAATAACCTCCCACCAGTTTTGTTCATCCCTTATTTAGATATGGGAAATAAATTTCACTCATGTTATATCAGCGAATGTTTCTGAAGATTGGTTTAGCTTTACTTTCTCCTTTAGAAAATGACCTTGTTTATTCATTTCATTATCATAGCAAATAAATGTCATAGGCAGTTCCTTACATGTAGCTGACTATAATTTAAATTTATATAAGGTCATCTTAGGCTTGTTCAAATGTAATGAGCCTCCCTGTGTTATGTTACCAGAAGCACAAGTTTTTCTATTTAGGGTCAAAAGGGAAAGTGTAATTTCTTTTTACCCTTGCAGAGGTTTCATTTTTTGTTATTTGAGATGGAAAAATCATTGTAGCAGGGTTTTAGTTTGCCTCTGAGTACAGTAATACCTCGGTTCACGAACGCATCTGTTCACGAACAATTCGGTTCACGAACAGCACCATTCGCAAAATTTTGCTTCCATTCACGAACTCCGCATTGGGTGATGAACACGACCCGTGGCCATCTTCCCTGCTCTGACACGTGGTCGTGGCTTCCTGTAGGCAAAGGGGACTCCCCCCCCAAAAAATAACCGCCTCCCCACCCGCCTTCCTGTCCTCCACGCCAGAAGTCGCCTCAAGCAAGGTTAGTGTTCTCTCTCTTCATACTGTACTGTACTG